TTCCAAACTCTGGGACTAAAGGCATGGGCCACCACACCTGGCTACTTTGTTACTTCTTATGTGATTCACCTGTCCTGTTAACACCCCCCCATTTCTATTCTTTAAAGACTTCTTTCCTTTTTTAAAAAACTTTTTACTGATTCTTTGTGAGTTTCACATCATGCAGCCCACTCCCGCTCATCTCCCTGTTCCCTCATATCTGCCCTTTGCCCTTGCAACCGACTTCTCCTGCCTCTGTACCACCAGGGTGAGCTCTCCAGCACTGCCATGGGCAGGAGGCAGGGTCGTCTCTTCTCCTCTTATGCCCTTGGGCAAGCTCATCCACAACCACACCCCCAGAGCCAGCTCCACTGTGCTGCCCAGCCAAGGCATGGGGTCCATTCTCTCAAGTGCTGCAGCCTGTGAGGGGCTGAGACAGCTCTCCTGCTCTCATAACCTCGGGGCTGGCTCAACCGTGCCTTCACTGTCAGGGCCAGCTGTTCACTGTGTTGCCCAGGTGATGTGCAACCCCCTTCCTCTATTTTTTTTAAAAAGATTTTTCTTTATTTTATTAAAACAAACAAACAAACAAACAAACAAACAAAACGAAAACAGCTGGCAGGAATCCCCTGGACCTGGAGTTACAGACAGTCGTGAGCAGCTCTACTTGGATGTTGAGGCCGGGACCAGAGTCTCCTGTAAGAGCGTCGTGTGTGCCTCAGGCTGCTGAGCCAATCCCTTCTTATTAAACGCAAACAAATTTTTCTCCAGTTTCCTTTTTGGGGGGAATTTTTTTTTTTACTAATTTTAATTAATTCCTTTTTAGGGTAAATCGTTACTAATTTTAATTAATTAACTGATTAATTCGTTAATATTTGAGGCAAAGTCTCCTGAAGACCAGAGTAACCTCACACTTGCCGTGTAGCTGAAGAAGATCTTATGTTCCTCCTTGTCACCTTCCAAGTGACGACCCTAACTTTATACACTGGCTTTGTTTTTGTTTATTTTTATTGTTGTTAAAAAAGAAAAAAGATGTGACATAATTTTTAGCAGTAATTTTCAATGTATAGTTCAGTGTGGTTTCCTACATTGCAATTGCTGTGCAGATGTCAACAAATGAAACTCTCTGGCCACTAAATAGTTAGCACCATGACATGTATCAGGATTGTGTGTGCATTGCTCTTCAGGGGCCATCCACCTTGTTTTCTGGAGACAGAGTCTCTTGCTGGCTTGGTGCTCGCCCATCTAGCCTGGCCAGCCAGGGATCTGCCTGTCTCTTCTGTGCTGGGATTACAGGCCACCATGTGCAGCTTTTGAACATGCATCCTACTGATCCAACCCAGTCCTTGAACTTCCAAGGTAAACTGTGTTAATGGACCTGCCACATGGCAGCTCAGAAAGAGCTAGGCCCAAGGTGGGCCTTGATACGCTAATGGACTAACTTGTGTTGTGTTCTCTTTAGTCTAAAAGAGCAATGGGGACCCCAATATAAGATGGAACTTCCAGAACTGTGGACCAAGGGAAAACTTCTCTCTTTATAAGTTAGTTGTTTCAGTTATTTTGTTATGGCAATGGAAAGTCAACAAAGAGGCCCATGGCTATGGAGTCAGATGTTCCTACTTGCAGTCCTAGAACTGCCACTGAACCAGCCACTGTCTCTTAGGCCCTAGTGGGAGATGGCCACAAGGCAGGAGACTCAGTTAATGCTATTATCTATGGCCAGATGTTACAGGGCATTTAGCCTGGGCTAGCTGCTCGGATGAGTAGGCGAGAGAGCTGAGGCAGATGATGGTGCTGTCTTGTGTTGAACACTAGTCCTGTTGCTCCGTAGTGTGGAGAAGAGACCTGAACTCTGCTGGGTGAAGGTGGAGGTGGGTCTCCCTAGGCCTGGAAGCTGCATAGAACCATGCTGGGAGTGGGAGTCCTGGGCTGAGGGCATAGGTCAAGCAACGGTGCAGGCAGGCAGCATCATCAGGACTTGGTAGATTCAGGTTACTAGTTGAACCTGGGACTGGAAGGAGGGATACGGTAGGTCACAGAGGGTCTTGTGAGACTCGTGTGCACACACAGGGACACTTGAGGAGCCAGGAAAGGACTTACACAGAGAAATGAGACTTGGCTGTCATTTCAGGAAGATTTACGGCTTCTGGAGTCTGGGAGAGAAGGTAGCTATGGCGTTAAGTCATCTAAGCTGCGGGTGGTTGATGTGGAAACTTAAGGTTCCTTTGGAAAGTCAGTTGTGTTAGAAGGTGTTTTGCTGGGGCAAAACACAGGTGTTTTGAGGGAGTGTTTTCCTGACGTGGACACAGGTGAGAGACTAAAGCAGACTTGTGAAGGAATGTTTTGTTGAAGCAGACACAGGAAAGAGGATGTTCTGCTAAAGCAAACATGTGAAAAGACACGTGACGAAAGATTTTCTGTTAACAACACATATGAATTGGTCCGCCTTACATTGTATAGTTGGGCTGCATTTGTTGGGACTCTGTGGAGTTGGGCTGACTGGATGCATGTAACTGAGGCAGGACTGGTGCTGAGGCAAGGCACATGGAGGACACGTAATGCTTGGAGGATATAAATAGGATTCCATGGAGCTTGTACAGCTAGCTGTGCAATGCTTGTGGGTCTTTGCTGATCTTTGCTTCTCTGAGAGAGGCACAGCTGAGAACTTCTGGTGTTCCTGCTGGTTCCTCCTGCTGACTCGAGCTAAGGCTGAGGCCTGGCTGTCTCTGCTAGGTCATGTCACTGCTGTTGCTAACCTGACTCTACTGAACTAGACTGCTGGTGTATCTGTGGGGAGTTTGCTAGTGGATCGAGTTGCTGACCTGTGAACTGAGCTGATGATTTCCAGACAGCACAGATGGGAGTTGCTCCAAAGAACCTTTCCAAGCAGGTCCACTCCCCCATATCCTTTCTTTTCCACTCCCTTTGATGGGTGGTGCACTACAAGAGAGGTTAAAGCATTTAAGAACCATTATTAAAAATAAGCTTTAAAAACATTACAGGTGGTGACTGGGCAAGGGCTATGGGACAAGACAGTCCAGCGAGAACAAGCCACAGAGGCAGGATGTGAAGTGGGATCAGACTGCCTTTTTCTGCCACTCTGGGCAGCCTCGAGCATCTGGGGCTGCTGAGCTTGGCCTCCTGGACTTCGTTTGATCTATGAAGTGAAGTCCTTAATGAGGCAAACTGACTCTATTTGGTCCCTGTGAGCTGAGGCACATCTGGCCCAACACTGCTCCCTTGTGGAGGAAAGTAGAAATCACAAGGACCCAGTTCCTGGCTGACCTGGCTACTTTTTCTATGAAGCTAAAGAGCCTGTGCCTTCCACCTTCCACAGGCCAGATGGACTCAAGTTCATGGTGTTTGGCTGTTGTTGTTTTTTTTCGGTACTGGGATTGAACCTAGGACCCTGCACGTGCTGAGCAAATGCTCTAGCACCAGGCTGTATCCCTCGTCTACTTCCTCAAGTTCACATCTTACCTTGTTTGCTTGTTTGTTTGTTTGCTTTTCAAGACAGGGTTTCTCTGTCCTGGAACCCACTCTGTGGACCGTGCTGGGCTTGAACTCATAGAGATTCACTTGCCTCTACCTCTTAAGTTTTGCTTTTTTCTCTTATGCTGTGTCTTAGGACAGGTCTCTTCCTGCCCCAAGCCTGAATCTCCTCATCTGTAACTGAACATAGGGTTTCCTGCCACTGACTGGTATGGGCAAAGAGCAAGTTTGGAATAAGCTGACCTTTCTCTAGGCCGTAAAATCCCATGATTCCCTCTGACCCATGCTGAAGCTTCACCACACAGTCCTTGACAGAGGCCCACTGTCTTCTCTCAGATTGCAACGAGGACACAGGGGGGCAGCTGACCTGGGTACCTGCCCCAGTCTGCCATTGGACACCTCCCCTTTTTTTAAAAGATGCTAAACCTTCATGTCTTGGCCTATAAAATGGGACTTCATCTCTATCTGCTTCAGGGTGGCTCACAAGGAGCTGTGCGGACTGTGGAGGGATGAGCATAGAACATAGCTAAAACCTGCTCTGAACACAGTGACTCTGTTGTGTGCCTTTCAAATTCATGAGTTTGGCTGGGTGAGGATCTGGGGGTGGATGGACATAGACGGCTTTTTTTCAACTGTCACAAAAACAACCCTATAAATAAATGTCCCAGCTGCCTTCTCCCAAAGATTGAGGACTTTCACAAGGAGGTAATCTCGGAAGACTAGGCCTTGCTTTGTCTGCACCTCCTGGATAGAGGAGGCCTCAAGATTCCCAGCACCTTATTTGAAGAGCTTAGATCTGTGACCCCCTATCAAAAACGCCACCCTACCCCTGACAAACCATATGCTTACAGCCATTTCATAACTTACATCGAAGTACAATTTATTGACATGTATTAACATGATCTGATGTCTGCACAAGTCATGTTTCCCCGACTCTCCTGTGACCCCGAAACACCCTATGGCCACTCATATCCCATTCCTCAGCCTGTAGAAGTGTTCCCATCAGGTCACCCCACCCCAGTCCTTCCATGGTCAGTTCCTTGAGCCAAAGCTCATTCTTTTCTGGGTATGCCCTGCAGATTTGGTCCCTGTCCCCACAAAGACATCAAAAGACAGTATGCACATTTGATTTTTGATCATCAAGATCACTTCTGCCTCCCTCAGTGCGAGCAAGCTTTCTGTTGGCAGAGTTGGATCAGCCCAGGGTGCTTACTGTCCCCAGGGCCTGCAATGCCAGGTGCTGAACAGATGCTCAGTAAACACTGAAGAATGAATGAACGAATGAAGGCAGAAACTTTTTTTTGTAGAAAAGCATCAGGTTTTCTGTTTGTTGGCTGTGGATGTAGCTCACAAGTAGAGGGCTTGTGTAGCTTGTGCAAGGACATGAGTTCTAACAACAGAAACACACATGCACACACACACTCGCGAGCGCGTGCACACACACACACACGAAGGAGGAGGAGGAAGATGAAGAACTGAGAAGAGAAAGATGGAGGAGGAAGGAGGAGGGGAAGAAGGGGAAGAGGAGGAGAAAGAAGAGGAAGAGGAGAAGAAAGAAGGTGGTGGAGGAAGAGGAAGAGGAGGAGGAGGAGGAAGAAGAGGAGGAAGAGGAGGAGAAGGAGGAGGAGTAGAAATCAAAAGTGACATCCTACCAGGGTGTCCAACCTGACCCTACAAGCTACATGGGGTCCAGAGTTGCTATGAACCTGGCCAAACACCAAACACATAAAGTTGTGTGAAATGTTGTTTTGCAGGTGTTTTCGGTGGGGTTTTGGTTTGCTTTGTAACTCAGTTGGCATGATTCTCAATCATGAACTTTGAAGATGACAGCATGTTGCAGTGTCAGAGGATTAGACGAGCCTGCAGGAGTGAGGGTTTGCTGAGCGAGGGTTTAATCTCACAAGACTTCCTGAGCTCTCAATGTCCTGTTGACTTTCCAGGCAGGTTCCAGAGCTGTATCTGCAGCTCGATTCACACACCTGCTGCCTACCCCTGTGCTCCCAGCAACAGATGTCTGTCTGTTTCTGTGATGGGAGAATCAGTTGTCCTTGTACACAGGGCAGGTCTGTCTCCATTACCAGCAAGAACTCCTAGTGTGTTTGTACTGACACGGAAAGTTGTCTGTGGGTGGTTGGAAGAGCAAGGGTCAGGGTTCAAGTCCAGAGGCCTCCTATTTTAATGACACGAGTCATTCTGAGAGCTCAAGACAAGAAATGAGATGAATGAAGTCGAGATTTTCCTAATCACAGCGGTAACCCTTTCAGTCTGTCAAAAGATGTGGGGAAGTGATCCCAAGAAGCTGTGTTGCTTCAGAGAAACAAGAGGGGTTCTATGCTTCCACATTGAGTGCAGGAACAACCCTGGACTTGGAAAATATCTCGTGACTCTTGCCTAACAGCCCCAGGCTATCTCTTTGGATCCAGAAAAATCATATTTTTTTCCCCTCTTGACAATCTGCGTAAGCTGATCTTAGGCAGGAATTTCTCCTGGCACTGCCTTTTGGCATTTAACCCTGTATTCAGACTCTAAACCTTGACTGTAAATAGTCCAACTGGTCCAGATACAGTGGTTAGGGGCTTTCCTGAAGAACTCCCTCATCTTTAAGGTTTACTGCTTTTCTCCTTTAAAATGTCTTCGATAATGAAGACATCTAGCAAGCAGAGAAAACCGAAGATGGGATCTTGAAGCAGGAAAGGGCGAGGCCTGACTTATGCTTGCAAGGTGCCTTGACAAGGTGATGTCTGCTGAGGCGTCTAGGCTGGTGGCACTTTGAAGTAAGGACTCCCTTTCTAGGAGCATGTATCTGATCATTAATTCTAGGGACATTTGGCCCATCAGCACAGAAGGACAAAGACGGTAACATCAGTAAACTATCCCAGTGTCTGAGCCACCCTGGATGGGACACAGGTCTTCTGTCCCAGCCAGAGGCCCAGGAGGAAGCAGTGCAGGACAGCCTAAGCTCCTAGGCCCCAGGTCATGGCGTCTCTGAGCCAGTCCACACAGGCACACTGGATCAAGGCCAACAGCATCTGCTGTCAGGTTCAGTACACCCAGCGGGCTGGCTGACTCTCCATGTATGCCAGGAGGGCCAGCCTTTGAGATATCACATGCAACAAGCTATCACCTGCTGGCTCCTGGGTCACACGGGGAAGCCATACTGGCAGCTACCACTCTCTCCTTAGACATGCAGATGGATAGAAAGCTGGAAAATTCTCTAAGAAGCAAGTTAGAGACCAGGACAAGTCCCCAGAATGATTAACCCTGCCCTCTAGTACCTGTGCCTCCCTGCTGCTTAGCTTTGGTTCCGAGTTCCACCCAGGCCAGGGATAGTGCTGCCCATATGCAACACTAGCATTCAAGACACTGAAGAAGGTAGACTAATGCTAGACCAGCCTGGGCTACATAGTGGGCTTGATGATGGCTTTTCCTGGGCAACTGCCGTAAGAGAGGAAATGTCAAAATTGAGTATCGGCAGGATCCTACAGGTATGTGCATGTGCGGGGGGTGCACTGTGTATGTATGTGCAGGGGGTGCACGTGTGTATGTATGTGTGGGGAGGTGCACCTGTGTATGTATGTGTGTCTCTCCATTAGACTCAGCAAACTGTTCAACCTCACAGAGCTGAGAGCGACCTTTCCTCTGATGGTTCCCCCTCTGTGCCCTGCCTCTCCATGGCTGCTGTTCTTTCCAAAGGAGGGGGATTTTGAAAGGCCTTGATGCTCTGCTCCAGCTGGGGCCTCTTCCCGATTCACAGTCTGCCCAGCCTCCTATAGCTGGCCCTTCCCATCCTTGCTGACCTCCAATTGGAGTAAAGCCATCCTGCAGCTGTGCTTCCTGTGGGGAACCAGACATGAATTTCATGTACCCAATCCCAGCAGGGATATCAGGCATGGCTGAATCCTGGGTGGGAGGGTGTCTTCAGGAGGGTGAGAACAAGAGGCAGGGTCCTTTCTCAGTGGGTATGTGATGTCACCCTCAGCCCCATTCTCTGGGTACAGGGGATGAAAGTGCTGGTCTGTGTCTGAGTGGTCCCAAGGGAGGCTGAGATGGAGATGAGGGTTGGAGATCTCTGTAGCCATCTTCAGCATCACCCTGCCTGGGGCACGAGGGGTAGCGGTATGTGAAGGAGTTGGATGGAGGGGGTCAGAGGCGGTCAGAGTCTTGACTCTCCTGAGGAGGGCTCGATGACCCGAGGCCCTGCAACTTCTCCTCACAGGCCTTGTCTGGAAGAAGAACCTCTGCAGTGTAGCCGACCTTCTTGGTATGCAGGAGGCTATAGGTGTTGTCAAAGCGCAGGACATCTACAAGAACAGAGAGGTGACAAACAGCATTAGGATAGCCCCTGTGATGTTGGGAACAGGCTGACCAGGCCCATAGGTAGGATGTATTCATCAGCAACTGCCCTGCCCCTGGCCCACTGCTCGTGACCCCCTCCTGGGAGTGTAGTGACCACAGCAGGGGTGTGGCCCCTTCTGAATCTCCAGTGTCACAGCAGCATTTCACAGCTCCCAGAATCCCTCCTAGGAGCAGCCTCTGGAGAAAGGTTGCCATCCCCACTACTACGGTTTATATAAGTGCGTTTAGGAGTGTCCTGTCGAAGGCCTGGTCCCCAGAGCAGTGCTGTCAGAAGGTAGTGGGGACCTCAGGAGGGGGGCCCACAGGTCTCATATCCAGCCTAGACTTTCCTTGAGCTTCTGATCCTCCTGACTCAGTTTCCTCAGGTGCTGGAATTACAGGTGTGTGCCAGCACGCTTGGCCTCTCTCCCTTTCCCTCTTCCTTCTTGGCCTGGGACATAGGTGTTTTTGCTCTGGGTGTTCTTACCATGCTGTGCCAACCTCACCAGAGCTCCAAAGCAATAAGGTCACTGGATCTTGGACTAGAATCTCCAAAACTGTGTGGTATGGTAATACCCCCCCCCCACACACATACATACCCCTTTTCTTTGCCTAAGCCTTGGGAATTTTGGTGCAATATGAAAAGGTGGCTAAGACACTTGACCATACTGCTTCTGGTGAAACTGACATCAGTTATAGCCACCTCTTTGGGATGTTTGGAGCTCAGACAACTGGGCAGGCCCCTTCTGGGGACCTCTGATGAAGTCATGGATGCTTAGTTAGCCGTCTCTTAGCTCTGAGCCCTGGCTGTTGTGCAATGCACCCCCTCCCTCACATCTATACTCCCTGGGAGTTGGACGTAGAGGGAACCCAGAAAGCCCAGACTGGCCCAGGATAGCTGCCTTTCTTTCTATCACAAAGACAACTGCAGGAAAACTTGAAGCTCTTACAGACTCCAGCCTTGAGGCAGGTGAGGCTCCCATCTTCAGGTACCATGTGAGTGTTGTAGCGCTGGTTGGGCAGCACCTCCACCATCTCTCCAGCCTTCTGCCGCTCCCCCATCCTGGTCTTCAGGAAGATTCCAAAGCCAATGTCTCCACCATCTGATGCAAACTGCCACCTGGAACAGATAAGAGTCCCCTGGTAACCTCCTGTGTGGGCTGGGAGGCCCTTTCAGCTGTGCCCAGGTGTGTGGCAGTCACTGTCCCTACCTGAGCACACAGCCTGGGAACAGGATCTCATTCTCCACCTGATGGGAGGAGCCTCGGCCCACAACCACAGTGTGCTCATACTGTGGCCTCTCCTGACTGCTCAGGTAATAGCTCTTGGGCACGTCGCCCCCATAGTTGATCTGTGAGTCAGAGGTGGGTAAGCTAACAGTAGGCCATGGTAGTCTCCTCCCTCCCCATCCTCCGGGCATTCTGTACCTTGGTCAGGCACTTGGGGTTACCATCAGGATCAGTCATAGTCCCCCCAAATTCCACAGGCAGCTGGTCAGGGCTCATAAACTTGAGAAGCTCTTGTTTCCAGTTACCTATGTGAGGAACAGGGGCTTCTGAGCTGAGGGGCTCTAGGAGGCCAGCTGAGAGCCCACAGAGGGGACTTCTCACTCCCCTGAGTCTACGCAGTGCATTCATGAGCTTGCTTTCTGGGTCTTAGGCCATGATCTGGACCTGGAAGCCCACTCTGTGTGCTGATGTGGCCAGGCCATGGCTGTGAGGAGGAAGTCCCAGGTGAAGGTGGCCTTTGGCAGCAGCCTTTGCCTTCCAGACAGGCACAGAGCTGGCTCTAGCTGGGGGCCACCTGTCAGGACACTTACCTCCAAGAATCACTATCTTCTTTTGTGTCACCTCTCCCATGTACGACTTGACCAGGTTGAAGGCCACTGGGAAAAGCTTGGGAGCTGAAACACACAGAGCCCCATTGGGAAGCTGAACAAGAGGAAACACTGCTGCAGAAAGCCACAGCCATGGTCATACGCTGGGTAGGAGTTGCTCAGATCTGGATTCCACCATGCCCTGCTGTGTGAACTTTAGTTAAGGACTTCCATCTCAGTCTTAGGGCTGTCAGCCTTAAAGTAATGGCATGGTACCTGGTTCTCAGCAATCAACAGTGTCCCATAATCTAGTTGTAGGGTGTTGGGCACAAGCTGGACCCATAGCCATAGTGATTCCTTGAGGACACTCCTTCCTTTTCTACCTCAACGTTTTGCTAGGTGACCTTAGAGTCCTTTGGAGTGAGAGTAGGTGGGGGAATCTGTTTTAGACATCCTGTCCTACCCCAAGGACACCCAGTGAGCACTTTTTGTGGGCCAGGTTTTGTGCATAATCTTCTCATTTAGCTTCTCAGCTGTCTCACGAGGGGTGGGTGCCATGGTGTTCCTACTTCACAACATGAGAAAGCCAAGCCTCAGTGAGATGAAACTGACTTGCTGAAGACGAGAGCGCTAGCTAGATATGAACCCAGGTCGTCTGGATCCGGGGAATTTGGGGTGGCCACTGGAGACGGGATCCATCCTTTCTCATAGTATATCTATCAGCCAGTTTGGCCCATGGCCAGTGGCCCAGTCTATACCGAGGTGAGCAAGAAAACAGCAACAAACATTTAGAAACTAACATGGCTGCCACATACCAGGGCAGGATATTGTACATTGCAAAAATACCAGTCTGCATAAGAACGGAGTTAAAAGCACAAAACCTTGTTCCCTACACAAGATGATTTAAAGAAGTTCTAACTCTAAGGCTTCTTTACTATCACCCCTCCTCAGCCTCTCTTCCCCAGGCACCAACTCACCTCGAATAACAATTAAATTTTTCACTGTCTCAGGATAATTTGCTTCCAAGATGGCAAAAAACTGTGAAGTCAAAGTCATATTGGTCATGGCTGTGCCCAGCACCTTGGGTACCCGGACTTCTGTATCTCTGCTGCAGCAGCAAGAGGACCACCCGAGCCTTCCCCATGATACATGCAGCCTCCCCTTGGCTGTCCTTGCTCCACCCCTTTCTCCTCCCCCTCCTCCTCTTCCTTTTCCTAGGATGGTCCCAGGAACAGCATCTCAAGGCCAGGCTGGTGCACAGGTCCCTTGGAGGCTGTCTCTACTTTCCATGGATGGGAAGCTGGTGTGCGTGGTGGGTCTCTCTTGGCCTGGAGCTGTTGCTGCCTCCTTACCTGCTGGTAGACCTCCACTGCTGGCTTCCATAAGTGCCTCAGGCTCAGACCTTCCATATCGAACACCATCACCATTCTCTCAATCTTCCTGCCCAGCTGCGTGGAACAGACCAGGCACACGGCTTAGATCTTGATCCGCCCAGGGCATCCTGGCCATCCTTCTCCTTCTCCTTGCCTCCCACAACCCATGGCAGAGTGGATGTCAAGCCCATGGCACGTCCCAGATGGTATTCAGCTAGGATGTGAGGGGATGTTGAATCTGAGCCCTAGCAGAGGCTGTAGGCTCTTTGACTATCATCACAGTTTTCTCAAGGCTGTCCTGGTGTGTGACTAAACCATGATTCCGGGGTTGATAAGATGGCTCAACAGGTAAAGGTACTTGCTGCCAAAGACCAATGACCTGGGACCCATGGGATGGAAGGAGAACTGGTTCTCCATGGCATGTGCTGGGCTCCTATTTCAGATTCACAAGACCAATAGGGTTGCCTTCTGCACTGGATTCACTCTGAAAGATGCAGAGGTAGGAGGGCCCTCCAGGTCAAGAGACGAGACCTGTCCAGGGGAAAATGAGGCCTTCTTGGAATAGAAGCTGCACTCTTGAGGGTTTCATGTATGTATTCTTGTTTGCTTTTCAAGAAAGGATCTTTTTGGCCTCAAACTCTACCTGCCTCTGTTTCCCAAGTACTGGGATTAAAGGGATGTGCTACCAGATCCAACTCTACATATATATTTTTTATGTTTAAATATCTGTCTGTCTGTCTGTCTGTCTGTCTGTCTGTCTGTCTGTCTATCATATCTGGCAGGTGCATATATGTGTGCATGTGCATACCACAGTACCACAGTGCTTGCATGGAAGTCAGAAGACAGCTTGCAAGTGTCGGTTCTCCCCTCCCACCATGTTAGTTCCAGGAATTGAGCTCAGGTTGTCAGGCATGGTTATAAGTGCCTTTACCCTCTCAGCCATCTCACTGGCCCTAGGGTTTCATATAGATATACATACATATATGTGTGTGTATATATATATATATATATATATATGAATAAATTATATATGAACACATCAACATTTACATATAATAAATATATTCATATATAAAGTATATGACTATGCAAAACATATGGTGATATATGATATATATAATACATATAATGACATGTATTAATAACTCTGTAGTCTCTCCTTGAGTCCCATGTGGGAAGCACATCAGTTTTCCCAGTTAGTGAATCGACAGAGGTAACTAGCTTTTCCATGAGTAAAACTCATGGGAAGAAGTCCTGGGAAGAGAGCTCAGGGCTCTCACTACACCCATGGTCAGTGTCAAGGCCTGGTTTTTATGTGGGTGCTGGGAATCTGAAAGTCGTCTTTATGTTTGCTCAGTAGTCATTTTACAAACTCAGCTAGAAGGAATACAGACATTAGTGACCTTACTGCAGAGCCCCCCTTTCTCTCTCTGACACACACACACACACACACACACACACACACTTGCACACTGATGCTCACTGAGGAATTAAGGAGGGAGAGAGCCATACTGAAAACTGATGAGCTTTAGAGAGACAAAGTGCTAATCATTGCTGAACACAGTGTCCCATTTAGACACACTAAGGCCGCCATACATCCTACCTGACCTGCACCACTCACCTTTTGACTCTGCAGCTCACACTCATGGAGAAGCATCTCACAGACTTTGATACGCTTCCGGATCATGTCCTGCTTAGAGGCTGACATAAGGAGCCCCTTGGGGTCCATTGTCCCAATGATGTCAAACCACACAGGGCAGCCTTCGTAGTCATAGCCACACAGACCACCAGAGTCATAGTGCTGGATCACCTGGACACATGGACAAAATCCTGACTCAAACCAGCCTGCACTGCGCCATCCAGTGGTGAGATGGGGAAGGGGCATCAGCAGGCCTAGGGGATACTGCAAAGGGCTCACCTCTGGGGTCTGCCACGTGAGGATGTGGTCCAGGTCCTGCTGTTTACGGAACTCCACATGCTGTAGAGACATGCAGGAGCTGCAGAATCTGTCTGTCCCCAAAGTCACCCCAAGTACTAGGGACATAAGGCCATGTATCTCTGCTCACAGCCACAAGACTCTACCAGAGCGTCCTTGGGCTCCACAGAACTGGGGATGGAGGTGGAGAAGGGCTCAAGGAGGAGGGGCTCAGGCTTTGTTCAGAAAAGGACCCAGGAGCATGGAAAAAGAAATCTGAGAAGGGACAGCCTTTGCTGACCAGAAACCTGGATCAGCGCGGGGGAGTCAGGACACAGGGATCCTACCTTCCGGAGCATGTCCTCAGATTGCTTAAGGTCAAAGTTCCGAGCTGCAAAAACATGGGAAAGAGAGGCCAAATCTAGGATGAGCTGGTTATAGGGGATCAGCAAGATGGCTCAGGAGGTATAAAGTGCTTGCTACTGTTAGGTCTCAAACCAGGAACAAAAGGCTGCTGTGACTACTTAACATACCAAAGTGGACTTAGATGCCAGGTTCTCTCAGCATCCCTCAGTCCCTACCTGTTACAGGATATGGCTGACATAACTTGCTCCGACCCTAAATTTCTCTAGCCCAGGGGCTGGGCTGCCCTTCCCTATATAATCCAGCCATTTTGGTTACCAGACCTTTTTGGTCTACTCTTTACTCTCATGGCCTCTTGGTCTGGCTCTCCCTTCCCTGTCTCCTCACATGGCCTGGCTCAGGGCCATGTTTACTCTGGACTCACGCAGTTGTCCCTGCCTCTGGCTCTGCGGTCCTTTCTATAACCTTTCTCCTCCACCATAGCTAGGAACAGTCATGTCCTTTCTTTTCTTTTCTTTTCTTTTCTTTTCTTTTCTTTTCTTTTCTTTTCTTTTCTTTTCTTTTTTTTTATTCAGCCACCAAGCCTGAAGGCCTGAGTTTGATCTCTGGAGCCCACATGATAGAAGGAAAGATTCCAGTCTGCAAACTTCTCTGGCCTCCATATGCATTGCTTATGTGAGTCCTTTCCCCCAATAAATAACAAATAAACCGATATAAAAATTATTTAAAACTGTTAGGATGAACTGATCCTGAGAGGCTCATGAGGACAAAATTAGGGTGCCCTCCTTTTTCCTGATACCTTCAGAATGCACTCTGGGTCTGAAAATTTTATGTGTAGTGTATATGTGTTTGCTCATGTGCATGTGTGTGCACATGAATGTGGGGGCCTGAGGCCGATGTTGGATGTCTGAGTTTACACACAGACCATGCTGGGTCTTGATGTTTATATGGGAGAAGAAACTTGGTTTTCATATTTGCCCAGTACATACCTTAATGAACTCAGGCATCTCTCTAGTCCTGGGAGATACACACACACACACACACACACACGTATATATGTATATATATACACATATACATATATACACACATATATACACACACATATATGTATATACACACATATATACATGTATATACAAATACATACATACATACCTACGTATGTATGTGTATGTATATGTATGTTCCCCTCTGTGTGTAGTCATGGCTGTCCTGGGACTCATCCTATAGACCATGAGCCTGGCCTCAAACTCAGGGATGTACCTGCTTCTGCCTCCTGAGTGCTGGGATTAAAGGTGTGTGCTATCTCCCAGCAGACATTGGATATTTTTTGAGGATCTTTATGTCCATGAAAGGCTCTGCAGATGTGATTTCTGGTTCTGTGTCTCTTGAAACTGAGAGAGAGTTCAAGCAATCCTCCTGCCTCAGTCTCCTAAACATCTGGAGCTACAGGCATGCCTCCCGCTCACAGTTACAGTCTATTTTGATGAACGCTTTGGCAGCTTCTTTTTAATGCTACTAGCTCACTATCAAATTTCCTACTGACGGAGCTGAAGTGCAATGCACCATCACAGACGTCCAAGTGGAAGGGGACTTTCCTGCTTGACAGCTTTTGCCGTGTTCATGAACCACTTCAAGAAATGACCTCAGAGGACACTCACGCTGCCTCTCCTCTGACAAGGCATTTACTGCACACACAGGCAGCCCATTCCATTCCTCAGCAGCTTCAGCTGAGCCCCGAACCTGTCTCCTAAGGGTTCCAAGTCCCACAGCCAGAGACCAGACGGTCGTAAGCAGTGGCTTCTCAGTGAGCATCACTACATGTGTCCGAGAACAAGCGCCCAAGTTTACAGCCCGTCCTTTCCTCCATCTATGTGTTTATTAGCGTCTCCTGCATCAGTGCTGGGCCATCAAATGGTCCCCGCCATCTCTGAACTTCTCAGCATGGCAGTCACCAGCCGTATGTGGCTACTGAGGAACGCAAGTGTAGCTACTGAGACGAGGGTCTGAAGTCTTAATTTAATCTAATTTTGATAGTTAACTATGTCTACAGACTACCAAATTGAATATGGCAGCTCTAAATATATTAGCATTTAAAGGTTTTGTTCATTTGGTATGTGTGGATCTTTTCTGCTTTAAGTTAAAATTCTAGAAGTTTTATAGGTTTAGCAGCTGGTTTGAGTTGTACCTGAGTTCTCATCATATTTAATAATTGGATATTGCTTCATATAGGAATACTACAAGCTTTGGTTGATCCCCTGGTCTTTTTTTTTCTTTCTTAAAGCGTAAAATTGTTTGTAAAATAAAGTTTCTAAAAATAGTTTTTTAAAAAAACAGAGAGAACAGAGAGTTGGGGAGCAGCCTCCGGGACAGGGCTTACTTCATGTGGTCCTGGTGACCTCATATTTGACTCCGCACCTTGAAGACAGGGGTCAGCACCCCGCCCACAACACAGCGGAAGAAAGTAAGGCTGAGAGGCCAGCTTCTCACCAGGGCTCTATTAATGCATGTGGAGCTTGGACTCACTCACAAGCCCGTCTTGTTGACAACTATTTAAACCATGTGCCTTGTGCCCACCTTCTGGGATGGTTTATCTAAAGTGCAAATGCTATCCTGCAAGTTAAAATCATTCTCCCCTCCCCCATCCCACAAGCCCTGTTCCATTTCTGGTATTACTTTTCCAGACTGCTGTGACTTCTAGAAGCCCCTTCTCTACCATTACTTCAGTTCACTTCTCTGTGTTTGTTTGATGCCCCAGGGGACTGATGGAAGACCCAAGTTCTAAAGATAGTGTTCATGGCCAAGCTGGGGAGGCCCTGGGCTCTGTTGAAGCCAAAGGCACTGGTGTAAAAATATTAGGAGACAGAACAGATTCATTAAAGAAAACACATGGTTAGTAGAAACAGAAGGTGAACAGCTCTGAGAGAGGGGCAGTTGCCCCCTGAGAGGAAATGGGAATTAGGTTTTCATTAGAGTAAGGGAAGTTACTTAGTTGTCCTGCTGGGCTCCATATCGGGACAGATCAGCAGGTTACTTACAAAGTAGCAGATTTTACAGGACCAGTTCTTTTTCTTGAGACTGACCATTAGGAGAGGGACACATAGGTCATTTGGAGTTAGGCTTTTGTGTTTGCATAATAAACCACAAGTCACTGGGGCCAGGCTTCAGGTTCTCAGGTTCTGACTGACAGATCGAGGAAATGCTAAAATTAGGGACTAGATTGCTCAGTGACTAGTGTTACCACATAAGCACAAAGACCGGTTCCTATCCTAGCACCTTTGTAATAGCCAACTGGGCCTAATGGCCCATGCGTAATCCCAAAACTTGGGAGGTGGAGACAGGGTTCCCTGGGGCAAGCTGTCTAGTTAGACTAGTTTATCAGCAGGCTCTAGGTTCAGCAAGAGACCCTGCTCAATAAATAAAGTGATTAAGGAAAGCACCTGGCAGCAATCTCTGACACCCATGTGCACCAACACAGAGTGCTATGATATTTGGGCTTTTAAAGTCTATCAATAAAACTGCACACTTAGTGAAATAGGTCTCAAACTCAGGATAAATGGCTAACTGAGGTGTCTGTTTAAGATATCAAAATGGACCCTGGCCACCAGGCTTTCCCGGCAGCTCTCAGTACTTATTACAGAGTCATGCTGGCTGGCTTGCCCCACCTCCTACCCTAAACTCTCCAGCCCAGGCTGGCTTCTCTTTCCTCAGCCTCTGATATCTACATAACCTCAGCCATTTTCCCTGCCCTGTCTCTAGGTGCTCTCGACCTCTAGGTTCCTAGGTATTCTCTTTGCCCCTCCCGCTCTTCTATCACTCCCACCCCCACAGCCCAGGTCTGTCCTGACATTCCAGATGCCTCTGGTCACGCTCTCTCTCACACCTACAATAACCCGCCCTCCTCTACCCATCCCTACAAACAGTCATGTCCTAGTTTCTTTTTCATTCATGTGACTCCTGTCCACTCTGGAGAGAGAGATGCTAAGGTTCAGATGAGTCTGTGCTATGCTTTTGATGGTAGTGGAGCTTAGATTTCTAGCCTAGAGTAGGCCAATGGAAAGCCTGTATCACACCAAGATGAGATGACCCACCTCACTTTCTTGCTCCCTTGCTCCTTTCTCTCCCTTCCCTTGCTCTCTGCCTCCCTGACCCCTATGACCTCACCTCGGAGCCAGCGCAGAAGAAAGTAGTCATCAACCTTGGGCAGGGTGGGCAGCACATCCTGGAGGTTCTCCCGGAACTAGAAGGAAAGGATGGATGTGATGGTCAGAGCATTCCTGGTCATCTGGGTCAGAGCTTGGGCCCTGGATGCTCTAACAAGGTAGGCGTGGCCACCCTTCCTCAGCAGGCCAGTTAGTTACTAGGCAAGCTACAGTGAAAAGCTGAGATAGGAGATTTATTCAGTGTGGTAATGATTGGAAAGAGAAACAAGAGGTCCAGTGACCCCCTACCCACAAGTGGTCCTTTGTGGTCCAGGAATGAGGCTTAAGTTTAAACAAAGGGTACAAAGTATGTATAATTAAGAAGTCCTGACAAGGAATGGTTCTGCCGGTCACTGATCCATCATTGTCTGGGCTCCAGTCTGTCCTGCAAGGTGGTCTCAAGAGTTATCAGAACTGTGTGAATCGCTTCTTGGGAGACAAGTTCCCTTTCTGGCTAGTACCAGAACCCCAGCCTTTTTTTTTTTCTCACTCCAGGGTGATTCTGATGAAGGCTAGCCTGGTAGTTCTAGAGATATTTATTACCCCAGAAATTGCATCCTTATGGTCGGGATTAGAGAAGAGTTACTCTCTCTGAGTTGCTCTTCCTCATTTGTGAAATGAAGATAATGTCAAATTTGTCTAATCGAGGGCTTGAATGTGTTTAAAATAAACATGTAAACCAGGTTTGGTGGTACAAGTCTGTAACCCTAGCACTCTGGAAGCTGAGGCAGGAGGATCATGAGTTTTCAACTAGCCTTGGCTACAAATGGAAAGCATATCTCAAAAAGAGGAAAAAAGAAAACCTTCAGGGCTGGAGGGATAGCTCATCAGTTAAAGATAACTGGATCTTCTTCCAGAGGACCCAGGTTTGATTCCTAGCACCCATGTTGAGTCTCACCACCATCTGTAACTCCAGTTTCAGGAGATCCAACAGCCTTTCGTGTCCCGCTCAGGCACCAGGTATGCATGTGATGCACGGATATGCATTCAGGTAAAACATTCATATAGCAAAACACACACACAGAGAGACACAAAGACACACACACATACACAGACACACACACAAACACAGGCACACACACCTCTGTAAGCCTGGGCCTAGTACCCAAGAGGCAGAGAGGTAGGTGGATCTTGTGGGTTTGAAGCCAGCCAGCTACCCCAAATTTCTTAAAAGTAGTAATAATAATTGTTATTTTGAGACAAGGTTTTACTATATCGACCAGACTGGCCTGGAACTTGCAGAGATCATCCTGCTTCTGACCCCCAAGAACTGGGATTAAAAGTATATGCTACCATGCCTGGCTAAAAATAATAATCCCAAAATGAATAAAATGAGATTGTGTAGCAGGATACTTATTCTGCTACATTGTATTCACAGTGGAGCTTGGTGATTAGGCAGTAGAAGAGGAGGTGGAGCTGGGAGAGAAAGAGAGGAAGGGGAGGGGAGAAAAAGAGGAAGGGGAGGAGAGAAATAGAAGAAGGAGAGAAGAAGGAGGCTATGGACCATGGAGTGCCGTGGATGGATCAAAAACTGTTCTGAGTAGCAACTTCTATCAAAAGGTTAGATATTGGGTAACAACTCTAATTGTGTGTGCATCTTGTTGATTGAGCATTTCTAAATATATAAATAAATCCTTTAGATAATCATTAAGCTTTAAAAGTCTTACTTCTACCGGATACTGTGAGGATGGCAGATATTGCCTGGGGTTCAGCCCAGCTTTGTGGATGCAGCGTGGTGGATGGCTCTGCTGGTGTCTCGTGGGTGCCAGGGCCTGAGTATCTAGCTAGCTGGAGCCCCAGTCAGAGCCCAGGAGCAATGGGAACATGGTGGTTGCCCGGGAACAAGCTGGACCGGGCACCATTTTCTAAATATCACCCCTACAAGACTGTATTTGGCTTTGCTTACATAATTAAAAAGGAATGTGTGGGAAAAAAAAGGTCAAACATAAAGATAGAAATGCCTACACTGTAACAACCGAGCACTTGGGGCCTGATGATGCTCAATGCCATCTACTTACATTTACAGCCTAACACTGAGCGGCCAGTCTGGAAATAACTGGTGCTCTACAGTTTACTAAAGTCAGCCTCGGGTGTAGCTGATGACCTCCTGCACAAGTAGCCTATGAGATGACTAACTTCCAGTTAGCTGCTGTGACAGACCAGCCCGCACCACCTGAGTTGGCATGGTCTCTTCTCTGGGATTGTCTCGGTGTAGCTGTGTATTTAACATCTTCTCCTCTTTTGGCCTTTTTCGTTTTTGGCAAATACACAGCCACTGCCGCCGTCACCACCACCACCCCTCATGTAAGTAGTGTGATGGTCTCGGGTGCACACACCCAGTAGGATTAAAGCAAGACTCCCAGTCAGCAAAGGGAGGATTCACATCTGAAAGCAGCTGCAGCCTTGGCGACCAGAGGAAATTTTGTTGGGGGTTGGAGGGTGTGAAAGGGCCAATGTCCCTTAAAAAACAATTACCCTGCACCCATCCTCCCCTCTAGGTGACTGCTCATTCAGCCTGCAGAGAAGCCACTTTACAGTGTCACACTGAAGACTGTGTGTCTGGAAGTGTGACCGCAGTGGTCCAGGCTAGGCTCAGGAGGACTCTAGAAGGAAATGACCCAGGGCATGGTAGTGCCGAGCTCTGGGCTCCATAGCCTTTCCCTCCTTCCTCCTTTCTCTTCCTACACGTTTTAAAATAGCAAGCATTTGTTAGTTTTAATTAGTGGAGAAAGTAGGAATGGCTCGTGGGGTTCTCTGTCATAACCCACTCCCAAAGACCAGGTTTCCAGTTCCAAAAGAACCTTGTGCCTGCTGCCTCCTGAGACCAGAGCACCGGGAGGCTCGTCAGAGGATCCCTCCTGTTCCACTAAGGACTCTTTAATGGCTGAATCTCCAGGTCCCCCCTTCACCCAGGATTCTTATTTTTCCCTATAAGGTTCTTTTTCCCCATGGGAGACACTACAAAACAAGCCATCTTTTGTTCTTCGAGACAGTGTCACTATGTTCAGGCTGGCCTTGACCCCACAATCTTCTGGTCTTTGTCTCACAAGGCTTGGGATTCTAGACTTACACCTTCAGTATCTGGCTTTCTGTCACAATTCCTTCTCCTCCTCCTCCTCCTCCTCCTCCTCCTCCTCCTCCTCCTCCTCCTCTTCCTCCTCCTCTTCTTCTTCTTGTTTTTTGAGACAGGGTTTCTCTGTGTAGTCTTGGCTGGCCTGGAACTCTGTAGACCAGGCTGGCCTCGAACTCAGAAATCTACCTGCCTCCGCCTCCTAAGTGCTGGGATTAAAGGCATGCGTGCGCCACCACTGCCCAGCCTCTGTCACAATTCTTAAGCTTCTCCTACAAACAAGGTTGAATGTGAACCTGGGTGGGACTTCTAAGACCTGGGCCTCCCCTTCCTGATAGCCCTTCCCTTCTCCAGGTACAGCCTACAGGAGGCTCTCAAAATCAGACCCCGTAATCCTCTATTTCTCTGTAATAGTTAAAAGTAAACAAGTAAGTCTAATAGGGAGAAGACTGGGAATCCGGGCAACAGAAACCAAACCAAACAGTGTCGCAATCTGGCAGAGATCTTCAAATCTGCCTGGCAGTAGTCACCAGGCTGGGAACAGAGGCCAGGGATGGGTGGTGGGGCGGGCTGTGCTGGAAGGCTAAATTTGCACACACACACACACACACACACACACACACACACACACACACACACAC